AAACACACAATTAACAATATTCTGGTATCAGTTTACTAAAATGGATGGTGGTGGTGGTGATGTGCCATGGAGTCTGTTCTAATTCAAAGTGACCCTGTACAGGGTTTCAGAGGCTGTAAATCTTTAAGGAAGCAGAAAGCCTCACCTGTCTCCCGTGGAAACTGCTGACCTTGTGATTCGCATCCTGATTCGTAACCACTATGCTCTACCAGAGCTCCTTAAAATCGATGGTATGACCTACTTATATTTTTTAAAATCCTGATTTAGTATGGCAGGGCATATAACTGACGAGAAATGAAGTTTAATTCAATGTGAAGATGAAGATGCAGTGTCTATATCTTGAAGTACAATGTTGTCTGTGATAGGATAATATCCATGTGCCTATAAAGAAGACCAGTGAATGTCACTATTATTCATATTTACACGCAAACAATTCAAGCCAGTGTTGATGATATTAAAGAATTAAGGAATTCTTCCAACTTTTTTAGCTGTAAGTCATCAAGCATACAATTAAGAAGTCTTGATAATCGTTGGTTGGAATATGATAGCAGTTAAAAAATATTTTAAAAATTAAAAAAAAAGAGGATAGATGAGTTGTTGGAAATCATTCACTTCATAATAGAGGAAGGCATGGGTACACAAAGTCACTGTAACAAAAACAAAAAGAGCATTGTTCAACCATTTCCAGAGGTAGACCATGATGAAGAACCAATGATACTGAAAGAACAATTTGAACTGCACTTTAACATTGGCAAAAACAAAGTTCCAGGAATTAGCAGAATGCAAATGGACGTACTTCAAAAACTCATGCAGCCCTGCAGTCGTTCACTCATATGTGTCAAGAAATTTGGAATACAGCTTCCTGGCCAGATGCTTAGAAGACATTCATATCTGTGCCTACTCTAAACAGAGGTAAACCAAAAGAAGGTGGGGACCATCGAATAATATCATTAATAAACCATGCAAGTAAAATTGTGTTCAAGATAATTAGAAAACTGTTCCAACTCTGCATTCATGGGGAACTTTCAGTTATTCAAGCTGAATTTAGAAGAGGACCTGGAACCATTGATAATGATTGTTGACAATCTGATGGATCCTGGATGCAACAGAGACTACCAGCAAGATGTTTACTTGTGTTTTATTGACAGTGCTAAGGTGTTCAAATGTTTGGATCCTGACAAACTTTGTAAAAGAATGGGCATTACCCACTATTTAATTTTGCTCATGAGGATCTTATACCTAGAAAAGAGGGTAGTTGTTAGAACAGAATAAGGGGCTACTGAGTGGTTAGAAATTATGGAAGATGTGCACCATGGAAGTATCCAAACACCATACTTATTCAATTTGTAAAGTGAGCAAATAATTAGAGAAGCTGAATTCTATGAAGAGAAACATGGTGTCAGAATTGGAGGATGACTTATTAACAAATCTCAGGTTACAGATGACAGCACCTTGGTTGCTAGAAGTGAAGAGGACTTAAAATTCTTACTAATGAATATTAAAGATGATGGTTTTCAGTATGGACTGCACCTCAATATAAAGAAAATAAAATTCCTCATAAAAGTACCAATGAGTTTTTGTTGCTGTTAAGTGCCTTCCAGTCAGTTTGCACACATA